GTGGAGAGAGAGTGGAGAGTGAGTGGAGAGAGAGTGGAGAGAGAGTGGAGAGAGAGTGGAGAGAGAGTGGAGAGAGAGAGAGTGGAGAGTGAGTAGAGAGAGAGTGGAGAGAGAGTGGAGAGAGAGTGGAGAGAGAGTGGAGAGAGAGTGGAGAGAGAGTGGAGAGAGAGTGGAGAGAGAGTGGAGAGAGAGTGGAGAGAGAGAGTGGAGAGAGATCAGAGAGAGTGGAGAGAGAGAGTGGAGAGAGAGTGGAGAGTGAGTGGAGAGAGAGTGGAGAGAGAGTGGAGAGAGAGTGGAGAGAGAGTGGAGAGAGAGTGGAGAGTGAGTGAAGAGTGAGTGGAGAGAGATCAGAGAGAGAGAGAGTGGAGAGAGAGTGGAGAGTGAGTGGAGAGAGAGTGGAGAGTGGAGAGAGAGTAGAGAGAGAGTGGAGAGAGAGTGGAGAGAGAGAGAGTGGAGAGTGAGTGGAGAGAGAGTGGAGAGAGAGTGGAGAGAGAGTGGAGAGAGAGTGGAGAGAGAGTGGAGAGAGAGTGGAGAGAGAGAGTGGAGAGAGATCAGAGAGAGAGTGGAGAGAGAGTGGAGAGAGAGTGGAGAGAGAGTGGAGAGAGATCAGAGAGAGAGAGTGGAGAGAGAGAGGAGAGAGTGTGGAGAGAGAGTGGAGAGTGAGTGGAGAGAGAGTGGAGAGAGAGTGGAGAGAGAGTGGAGAGAGAGTGGAGAGAGAGAGTGGAGAGAGAGAGAGTGGAGACAGAGTGGAGACAGAGTGGAGAGTGAGTGGAGAGTGAGTGGAGAGAGAGTGGAGAGAGATCAGAGAGAGAGTGGAGAGAGAGTGGAGAGAGAGAGTGGAGAGAGAGAGAGAGTGGAGAGAGAGTGGAGAGAGAGTGGAGAGAGAGTGGAGAGAGAGTGGAGAGTGAGTGGAGAGAGAGTGGAGAGAGAGTGGAGAGAGAGTGGAGAGAGAGTGGAGAGAGAGTGGAGAGAGAGTGGAGAGTGGAGAGAGAGTGGAGAGTGAGTGGAGAGAGATCAGAGAGAGAGAGAGTGGAGAGAGAGTGGAGAGAGAGTGGAGAGAGAGTGGAGAGAGAGTGGAGAGAGAGTGGAGAGTGAGTGGAGAGAGAGTGGAGAGAGAGTGGAGAGTGAGTGGAGAGTGGAGAGAGAGTGGAGAGAGAGTGGAGAGAGAGTGGAGAGAGAGTGGAGAGTGGAGAGAGAGTGGAGAGAGAGTGGAGAGAGAGTGGAGAGAGAGTGGAGAGAGAGTGGAGAGAGAGTGGAGAGAGAGTGGAGAGAGAGTGGAGAGAGAGTGGAGAGAGAGTAGAGAGAGAGTGGAGAGTGAGTGGAAAGTGGAGAGAGAGTGGAGAGAGAGTGGAGAGAGAGTGGAGAGAGAGTGGAGAGAGTGGAGAGAGAGTGGAGAGAGAGTGGAGAGAGAGTGGAGAGAGATCAGAGAGAGAGTGGAGAGAGAGTGGAGAGAGAGTGGAGAGAGAGTGGAGAGAGAGTGGAGAGAGAGTGGAGAGTGAGTGGAGAGAGAGTGGAGAGAGAGTGGAGAGAGAGTGGAGAGAGAGTGGAGAGAGAGTGGAGAGAGAGTGGAGAGTGAGTGGAGAGTGAGTGGAGAGAGATCAGAGAGAGAGTGGAGAGAGAGTGGAGAGAGAGTGGAGAGTGAGTGGAGAGTGAGTGGAGAGAGATCAGAGAGAGAGTGGAGAGAGAGTGGAGAGAGAGTGGAGAGAGATCAGAGAGAGAGTGGAGAGAGAGTGGAGAGAGAGTGGAGAGAGAGTGGAGAGAGAGTGGAGAGAGAGTGGAGAGAGAGTGGAGAGAGAGTGGAGAGAGAGAGTGGAGAGAGAGTGGAGAGAGAGTGGAGAGAGAGTGGAGAGAGAGTGGAGAGTGAGTGGAGAGTGAGTGGAGAGAGAGTGGAGAGAGAGTGGAGAGAGAGTGGAGAGAGAGTGGAGAGAGAGTGGAGAGAGAGTGGAGAGTGAGTGGAGAGAGAGTGGAGAGAGAGTGGAGAGAGAGTGGAGAGAGAGTGGAGAGAGAGAGAGTGGAGAGTGAGTAGAGAGAGAGTGGAGAGAGAGTGGAGAGAGAGTGGAGAGAGAGTGGAGAGAGAGTGGAGAGAGAGTGGAGAGAGAGTGGAGAGAGAGTGGAGAGAGAGTGGAGAGAGAGAGTGGAGAGAGATCAGAGAGAGTGGAGAGAGAGAGTGGAGAGAGAGTGGAGAGTGAGTGGAGAGAGAGTGGAGAGAGAGTGGAGAGAGAGTGGAGAGAGAGTGGAGAGAGAGTGGAGAGTGAGTGAAGAGTGAGTGGAGAGAGATCAGAGAGAGAGAGAGTGGAGAGAGAGTGGAGAGTGAGTGGAGAGAGAGTGGAGAGTGGAGAGAGAGTAGAGAGAGAGTGGAGAGAGAGTGGAGAGAGAGTGGAGAGTGAGTGGAGAGAGAGTGGAGAGAGAGTGGAGAGAGAGTGGAGAGAGAGTGGAGAGAGAGTGGAGAGAGAGTGGAGAGAGAGAGTGGAGAGAGATCAGAGAGAGAGTGGAGAGAGAGTGGAGAGAGAGTGGAGAGAGAGTGGAGAGAGATCAGAGAGAGAGTGGAGAGAGATCAGAGAGAGAGTGGAGAGAGATCAGAGAGTGAGAGGAGGAGTATGGGGAGGAGGGGGAGAGCTATTACCATGTTGACTAGGACGATGACGACGACGATGATGACGACGATGATGAAGATGATGATGATGATGATGACGATGATGAAGACTATAACCACAAGGAAGACGAAGATCACGACGATGACGACGACGATGATGGTGACAATGACAACGACGATGATGATGATGATGACAATGACGACAACGATGATCGAAGGTTGACGATGATGAGGGTGACGACGACGAGCGGCCATCTCACCATGGTGGTCTCCTGCACCGAGCCGAAGCTGTTGACGAAGATGTTGAGGTTGACGCTCACCGGGGACTCTGCACGCATCGGACACAGTTAGTCACATGGGGCACCCACGTCACAGTTAGTCACATGGGGTACCCACGTCACAGTTAGTCACATGGGGTACCCACGTCACAGTCAGCCACGTGGGGCACCCACGTCACAGTCAGCCACGTGGGGTACCCACGTCACAGTTAGTCACATGGGGTACCCACGTCACAGTCAGCCACGTGGGGCACCCACGTCACAGTCAGCCACGTGGGGTACCCACGTCACAGTTAGTCACATGGGGTACCCACGTCACAGTTAGTCACGTGGGGCACCCACGTCACAGTCAGCCACGTGGGGCCCCACGTCACAGTTAGTCACATGGGGTACCCACGTCACAGTCAACCACGTGGGGCCCCACGTCACAGTCAGCCACGTGGGGTCCCACGACACAGTTAGTCACGTGGGGTACCCACGTCACAGTCAACCACGTGGGGCCCCACGTCACAGTCAGCCACGTGGGGTCCCACGTCACAGTCAGCCACGTGGGGTACCCACGTCACAGTCAGCCACGTGGGGTCCCACGTCACAGTCAGCCACGTGGGGTCCCACGTCACAGTCAACCACGTGGGGCCCTACGTCACAGTCAACCACGTGGGGCCCCACGTCACAGTCAGCCACGTGGGGTCCCACGTCACAGTCAGCCACGTGGGGTACCCACGTCACAGTCAGCCACGTGGGGTCCCACGTCACAGTCAGCCACGTGGGGTACCCACGTCACACTCAGCCACGTGGGGTCCCACGTCACATCAGCCACGTGGGGCACCCACGTCACAGTCAACCACGTGGGGTACCCACGTCACAGTCAGCCACGTGGGGTCCCACGTCACAGTCAGCCACGTGGGGTACCCACGTCACACTCAGCCACGTGGGGTCCCACGTCACATCAGCCACGTGGGGCACCCACGTCACAGTCAACCACGTGTGGCCCTACGTCACAGTCAACCAGAATTGTTGGCGCATGGGAACTCAGTCTGAGACTCTCACTAGCCTAACCGTGGGAAAGGGGAGTGTACCCCTCTGTCTGTGGGCAGGGGGAGGTGGGCAGGGAGGGGGCAGGGAGGGAGCAGGGTGGGAGGGGGCAGGGGGGGGGGGGGGAGGGGGGGGGACTCACTCTTGAAGTTGGGGCGGATGCGAGGGTCGTATCGCGAGAGGATGCGATTGAGGATGTTGCTTGTGGAGTTGCCCGAGGCGAACTTAGCGAGCTCCTTGGGGCTGGCTTGGCTGCCATTGCCATCGCCATGGGCGGATGCAGCAGCGAAGCAGCGAAGCAGCGACGTCATCATCATCATTAGCAGAAAGCAACATCATCAGCATCATCATCAGCATCATCATCAGCATCATCATCAGCATCAAAAGGAGTAGCGTCAGCAGCAGAAGCTGCAGCACGGAGAGAGATACACAGAGTGAGACACAGAGAGAGGGAAACACACAGAGACATAACAGAGACAGAGACACACAGAGACACACAGAGACAGACACCCATAGCCAGGCCATTATGAACCCTTACAGAGAGAGACAACAACAACCGCCATTCGCCACTAAGTGGCGGTGACGTCACCACGACGCTTGTGCCAGGCTAGGTGAACGTTGAGGCCACGTGAAGTGTCGAACGCCCGCTGGCAGGAGGTCACAGGGCAGACCCAGATGACCGTGGCCGAGAAGACCTGAAGCTTCGTGCGGAGCGACAGACCAGGTAGCTTCCACACAGCGTTACGCAACCGATGAAAAGATATTGCCGCTCGACTGATTCGGAGTGAGACCTCTGCTGTTAAACTGGAGCCAGTCATAAGCACACTGCCCAGGTATGGGAAACTCTCCACTCTCTCCACAACTGCCCCATCACCGATTGGGAGTTGTGGGGGTGGAGTGTCTGATGGTACAAAATACCCAGGCAGGTGCTTAGTTTTGGTGGGGCTGATGGTAAGGCCCCACCTCTTAGTGGCACGCTCCAGTCTCAGCAGCAGCGTCTCCAACTCCTCTGAATGAGCAGCTATTACCAAATCATCAGCATACATAACGTGGTTGAGCAATAGGGAGCCATCCCTTGACCTCACCCGGGCATC